TCTCTTACTACTATGGAATAGAGTTTTTACTTGGGGAATTGATTCTGAAAACAAGCACAAGTGCTCCTGCTTTCAGTTATGGCAGTCCCTATTATTCAAACTAATTCCCACTCCAAAACACCAAAAATGCTGAATAAAATGTCTAAAAATATCATTGAAAGGACTAAACAGCTGAAACAAGGGAGCAGAAATTACTAGGTTAAATGTGAAGGGAGAACCAGAACTCAGAGAAACAAGCATCACTTGGAAGCCACTTTTACTCTGAGAGCATTTGCAGTTCTCCCAAATTCAAACTTTTGTTTTTACGTCTCAATTCCTAGAGTCTGCAAAGTGAGGAATCCAGTAGAAGACCCTCTCCCCAATAAGCTGGGATCCCAAAGAATTACATCCTTACAGCACAGGTAAACTAGAAGTCACCCAGCCCCCATTCAGATTATAATCCACCTTCAAAGCACTTCAATGGTCCAGAAAACCTCAATCCTTGCATTTTGTTTAAGGTAGTCTTGTACTATTATTACCCCTAGGCTTTTGAAAGTAAAAATGCAAACTTTTACGAGAAGAAAAAATTTATATCCTAGGCCTCAAATCATTCCTACACACAATATCCAAATTCAATGACAAGCACACCATAAAAATAATGAGACACACAAGGAAACAGGGTAACAACAGAAATAACAAACTGCAAAAACAAACCCACAACTAATATATTTGAATTATCAGGTCTCCAAAATAAAACAATTGAGTTTATTATTCTTAAGGAAATAAAGAAAAACTTGTAATAATATCTGCAATACACAGTAAATTTTTTTAAAGTCAACTAATTTGAAAAAGAACCAACTAGAATTGGCCAAAAAAATGCACTGAGATTTAAAACTCAATGGATAAGTTTAATACATATTAGAGCTAAAGGGAGAATTGATGAACTGGAAGATGGGTTATAAATTATTCAGAATTTAGTCACAATCCACAGATTCAAGAATTCCAACAAATCACAAGCAAATTTTTAAAAAATATACACACCTAAACTTATTTTAGTGAAAATCCTAAAAGTATCCAGAGAAAAGAGAGTGATTGCCTTCAAAAAAGCAACTATTAGACTGACAGGTAAAAGCCATGATACAGTGGAATTACATCTTATATCTTCAATGTGCTGGAAGAAACCGTCAATATAGAATATAATGTCTAGGTGGATAGGGAAGGCATATGTGATCTGAAACTTATATAAGTGAAGTGTGCTTGTTGTAATTTCTTGCATAATCACTAAAATATAGAAACCGATTATGTAACCTAAGTGGATAACACAAAATTCAGTCTAATAGCTTTGTCTGAAGAGGGAGAAAGAGTTGGCGTCAGGAAGGAAACAGAGGTGGAAAGCTTTCTGTGTGCTGACAGTGTTTTATTTCTCGACTTGTGGTGATTATGGGAGTGAGAGAGTATGCTTTATCCATTAAATTATCCATTTATAGTTTTTTCACTTTTCTGTACAGACATTTCATTCTACAGTAAAATGTTTAAAAGAATACAGAAGGAAAATAATGCTTGCTTCATTTTAAAAACTAGAGGGAATGAGGTGAGCAAATGGTAAATGGGGAAGAACTGCCAGCATGAGAATAGGTGCTGTCTAGATTAGATTAAAATAAAGGGCCCTTATTTGTCTGAGAGTAAATTACGTTGCCTTACTGTTGCTTTGATGCTTACGTCTCTACCGTCTGCTGCAGAAGATAAAATCAGTGGACTGGTTCTCGGTTCCTTTCAAAATGCTCAGAACAAATTTCCCAGAGATTTTAGAATGGCAGCAAGTAAACCACAGAGAGATCTTGGAGCAAAAGTGTCTGCGACCACACAGACATAGATGCATTGCCTTCTATTTCTGCAGATGGTTTTGTCAGCAACATTTTCCCCTTTGTACCCACGCTGTGACCAACACAAAAGGAAATTAATGGTTGGCAGTGCAGGGTGGTGGAAGTGCAATGCAGTGATTCCCAGGGAAACCACAGGCAAACTCTGGCTCCGCCACTAGGAAGGCTCTGTGACTAGGGTTCCCCCCTTATCTGAGAAGTAAGAAAGTGTTACAAAAACATCTTAAAGTTCTTTCCAACATTTACTTTCTACAGATTCAGAATCAGAACATATCCAGATGAGACAAAACAACCAAAAGAGCTAACACTTTACTACTGGCTGAGTCCTCCACAAGGGAAGCCATGTTCCCATAATTCTCTCTCTGTCTCAATATCATAACGGGCTTTTCCAGGGAGTCAGAAGAAATTAAAACGAATGAGACTATTGTTCTTGCCCACAAAAGTATTTAGGTAGGGATAGGAAAGCTGTGCCTCCATTTTTCTTAAATGGTATGTCAAGAGTGTATGCCATTAACACAAACTGGGGATTCCAAATTGTCATTTGTATTGGACACTTTTAATTATTCATTTTATCATTTTTAACCTAAAAACTACCTGGGTCACTTTTTGTTATTAAATGTAGTGATAAGAAAGCTGACTCAGGTTTCCACGTATCAGTGTTCAAGCTTTCCATCTGGAAAACCATTTGGCAACTTTAAATCTGCAATTTGAATGTTTCCAACTATGGTATTTAATCAATTACTTCATAATTACTTTGGCACCTAGAGAACAGATGTGCTTGTTATGATTTTAATATCTGTCCCCTCTGAAACTCATGTTGAAATTTAATCCCCGATGTAATGTATTAAGAGGCTGGACCTTTAAGAGGTAATTGAGTCATGAAGGCTCTGTCCTCATGAATGAATTAATCCACTCATGGGTTAACGAGTGAGTGAATTAATGGGTTCTCACAGGAGTGGGTTAGTTATCATGAGAGCATGTCTGTTACAAAAAGCCATGTTGGCTTGTTCTCTGTCTCTCTCTCTCATTCACCAGATAATGCCCTGCCCTGCCCCACCTCAGGGCTCTGTGGAGCGTCCCCACCAGCAAGAAGGCCCTCACCAGATGCAGCCCTTAGACTTTGAACTTCCAAGCCTCCAGAACTATAAGAAATACTTTTTTTTCTTTGTAAATTACCCAGTCTCATATATTCAGTTGCAACAACAGAGAACAAACTAAGACAATGTTCAAATACCAAATCACAAGTTCTCCTTAACCTTTGGTGACATTTGAAAAATAATACCAAAAGGAGACTAAATAAAGCATGTAATGGATAAATTTAAGGAAAATCTGAATATATTAGTTTCCTATAACTGCATATGCAGCTAGGAGCTTCTTTTCTTCTTCTCCTTCTTCTTCTTCTTCTCCTTCTCCTCCTTCCCCTCCTCCTCCTCTTTCCTCTTTTTTCTTTTTCTTTTTTAATTTCCCATACCAGGAGCCAAAAGCAAGAATATTTTCTCCACCCTCCTTTTATGGTCGCTCCAAATCTAATATTCAACCTGGAATACTAGTATGATAGCACAAATTTTTATAGACAGTGTCTGTTCTGACTGGTTGGGCATCAAATCTACTTGGTCAATTTCTCCACCATACCAGCCTTGAAAAATTGTGACTATCCCCCTCACCAATCTCTTTCTTCTCGCTCTTTCTTCCTTTCTCTCATGCTTACATTTTTTCCCCCACACCACCTCTTAATATA